CCTGAGTCAGCATTATGAGTCCTGAACCCTGAGTCAGCATGATGAGTCCTGAACCCTGAGTGAGTCCTGACCCTGACCTGAGTCAGCATTATGAGTCCTGAACCCTGAGTCAGCATTATGAGTCCTGAACCCTGACCTGAGTCAGCATTCTGAGTCCTGAACCCTGACCTGAGTCAGCATTATGAGTCCTGAACCCTGACCTGAGTCAGCATTATGAGTCCTGAACCCTGACCTGAGTCAGCATTATGAGTCCTGAACCCTGAGTCAGCATTATGAGTCCTGAACCCTGACCTGAGTCAGCATTCTGAGTCCTGAACCCTGACCTGAGTCAGCATTATGAGTCCTGAACCCTGAGTCAGCATTATGAGTCCTGAACCCTGAGTCAGCATTATGAGTCCTGAACCCTGAGTCAGCGTTATGAGTCTTAGACCCTGACCTGAGTCAGTATTATGAGTCCTGAACCCTGAACCCTGAGTCAGCATTATGAGTCCTGAACCCTGACCTGAGTCAGCATTATGAGTCCTGAACCCTGACCTGAGTCAGCATTATGAGTCCTGAACCCTGACCTGAGTCAGCATTATGAGTCCTGAACCCTGACCTGAGTCAGCATTATGAGTCCTGAACCCTGACCTGAGTCAGCATTATGAGTCCTGAACCCTGAGTCAGCATTATGAGTCCTGAACCCTGAGTCAGCATTATGAGTCCTGAACCCTGAGTCAGCATTATGAGTCCTGAACCCTGAGTCAGCGTTATGAGTCTTAGACCCTGACCTGAGTCAGTATTATGAGTCCTGAACCCTGAACCCTGAGTCAGCATTATGAGTCCTGAACCCTGACCTGAGTCAGCATTATGAGTCCTGAACCCTGAACCCTGAGTCAGCATTATGAGTCCTGAACCCTGACCTGAGTCAGCATTATGAGTCCTGAACCCTGAGTCAGCATTATGAGTCCTGAACCCTGAGTCAGCATTATGAGTCCTGAACCCTGACCTGAGTCAGCATTTGATCACTTCCTGGTCTGGAGGTCACTGGTTCTCTGTGTTTTTGTTTGTATCCTGAAATAAGGTCTTTGGTTAACACAAACTGAAGAGACTTCAACGTTTTGTTCTACGACATAAAATAAGTAAATAGCCCACTGGTGTCCCTCAGTGACACACCCTGAACAGTCTGGTGGGTCATGGTCCAGGTCATGTGACTTTGTGTTCCCATAACAACATGTCCAAGATGTCCATGTGCCTGTGCCAGACTAACACACGTGACAGAACTAGCTACATTTCAAAAGCTTGTTTGTTGTTGCTAAAGGTAAAATTCAAGCCATTTCAGAATTAAAATGTCCTTTATGTGTGAACCTATTGAGGAAACATTTATTGATCAAATTGATATAAAACAAATGAGACCAACATCGCTGTGACACCGATCGGGACTTTAACTCTAAACGTTCACAGTAAACCCAAAGTGACATATATGCTCAATTAGAAATATGATTATGATCTGCTCAGTTAATTTAGCTGATTCAATTATATTGAGTTGATATATTCTTATTCTTCAATTCAAAGAATGTTCAAACTAATTTAAACCAAAAAATCATCCTCATTAATGACGTTATGTATAAGAGTTATTTTACCATTAAAGTCCAGGTATGTGACACTAGGGGGGGTTTCTTGTCAGAAATGTGTTCTTGGTGGTCTATTTAGTCTAAATTGTGTTCCCCTTAATTTCCCCAAAAGTAGAAATTGGTCCGGGCTTGTGGTTGCCTTCAGGTTCTAGTGGTGCCTTCAAGGCTCTCGTCCAGGCTCTTATGTGCCTTCAGGCTCCCATTCAGGCCCTTTACTGTGGTGCCTTCAGGCCTTCCTCATTCCAGTCTCTCGTGGTGCCTTTAGCTCTCGTGGGTGCTTCCAGGCTCTCCTTCAGTCTCTCGTGGTGCCTTCGGCTCTCCTTCAGTCTCTCGTGGTGCCTCGGGCTCTCGTGGTGCCTTCAGTTCTCTCGTGGGTGCCTCAGGCTCTCCTCAGTCTTCTCGTGTGCCTTCGGGCTCTCGTGGTCTGTCTTCCAGTCTCTCGTGGTGCCTTCAGGCTCTCCTTCAGGTCTCTCGTGGTGCCTTCAGGCTCTACAGTGGTAGCGCTTCCAGTCTCTCGTGGTGCCTTTAGTCTCTCGTGGTGCTTCAGTTCCTCATGTGTCTTTAGTCTCTCGTTCGGTGCCTCAGGCTCTCCTTCAGTCTCTCGTCCCGGTGCCTTCAGAGGCTCTCGTGGTGCCCTTCTGCGGTCTCTCTCATGGTGCCTTCAGGCTCTCGTGGTGCCTTTAGTCTCTCGTGGGTGCCTTTAAGGCTCTCCTTCATGTCTCTCGTGTTGCCTTCAGGCTCCGGTGTGCTTTTCAGTCTCTCGTGTGTGCCTTTGACTGGGTGCGTCTCGTGGTGCCTTTCAGGTCTCTCAACTTCAGTCTCTCCGTGGTTGTCCTTGCTGGCGCTCTCGTGGTGCCCTTCAGTTCTCTCATTGTGCCTTCAGGTGCTCTCGTGTGTTGGGCCTTTAGGTCTTCTCGTGGTGCCCTTCGTGCTCTCCCTCAGTCTCTCGTGGTGCCTTCAGGCTCTCCCTCCGACTGGTTTTCCTCTCGTGGTGCCTTTCAGGCTCTCGTGGTGCCTTCAGGCTCTCCTTCATGTCCTCTCTGTGGTGCATCTTCAGGCTCTCGTGGTGACTTTTGTCTCTCGTGGTGCCTTCAGGCTCTCCGTTGGTGTGCCTTTAGTCTCTCGTGGTGCCTTCGGCTCTCCTTCAGTCTCTCGTGGCATGCTTCAGGCTCTCCCTCAGCTCTGGTGGAAATCTCTGCTCTCAGACAGACAGTTGAGGTGGTGGGGAATTACCTGTGTTGTGTTTGCTCGTCAGGTTGTGTTCTCTTTAATCCCCAGACATTCCTCACACTGCCATCCACATCTGCGCAGCAGACACCCTGAACGCCTCATCAACAGGCACTCCTATTGGCTCGTGCTCCAACACATCGCACGTGATGGCTGAGGGGGCGGGGACATCTCTCCAAGCGCATGTGTCACGTTGACCAGAGCTACTGATCATTTAGTGTTAAAACTTACATGCAACTACATGTGTGAGGAAAGGGATGTGTGGTAAGAACATGACGCACACACAACACACACCACACACAACACACACGGACACACACACACACACACACAACACACACGCACACGCAACATGCACACAGCACCGACAGCCAGCACACGCACGCAACATCACACTACACCACACCCACACTATATGTACACACACACACATCACACACACCCAACTCACATTCACAGTCCCATCACTACTTACACAGGTTGCACACACACACCTCACAAGTCCTTATAGTGATCGTGCTGAAACTTATTTAGTATTATCTATTAGGAGGAAGATGAGAAGTGTGTGTGGCAGAGCAGACAGAGAGAGAGAGAGAGAGAGAGCAGAGACATGTTGATGAGACCGATAGAGAGTTTTTTTAATGAGATAGGAGAGGATTGAATGGATAGGAGATTTGATCATGATACATGCAGTAGAGCTCTGAGGAGCGGAGAAGGAGGAGAGAGAACCCGATGATGCTGATGAGCAGAGAGGGAGAGTTAGAGACGGGATGAGACGGATCGTATTGCAGCTGATTGTCACCTGATAGGCTGATTCAGTGTGTGGCTCGAGGGGAGGAAAAGGGAGTGATCTGAGTACAGAGAGAGGGTGATGCTCCACACACACATGGCACACACACACAACCCCACACACACGACACATGTCGACACCACACACACACCATCACACCACGCACACGACAGACGACACGTCCTGACACCCACACACCAGACAGCTCCACAAAAACCTGATTGGCCTGAATCTCCCGCTGTGTGATATGTAATCGGGTGGGGCGGTGCTTGTGTGTGTGTGTGTGTGGTGTCGTGCGTGCGGCGTTCTCCTCAATGGGGTTGGTGAAAGAGAACAGCTGTGATTGCCGGGTGAAGCGTCTCCTCTCTCTCTCGCTCATCTCCCTATGTGTGTGTGTGTGTGTGTGTGTGTGTGTGTCATCGTCGATTCCTGCAGCATGTAACTTTGAGGCGAGGAAAAGGGGATGATGTCCCGCGCGCGTTTCTTTATTTATTTTCATCTTCATCGCTTCCTCTCCTTCGTTTATGTTCCCTGTGTGTGTCTCAGGTGTACCGTTTGTCTTGTGCGACTGTGATGTGTGTGTTTGTGTGTGTGTGTGTGTGTGTGCTGTGTGTTGGTTGTGTGTTGTGGTGTGTGTGTGTGTGTGTGTGTGTGTGTGTGGTGGTGTGTGGTGTGTGTGTGTGTGTGTTGTGTGTGTGGTGTGTGATTAAAGCGTATTGCGGGGACCCCTGTGTTGTGTGGTGTGTGTTGTGTCGATAGTGTGTGCGAGTGTCTCATGGCTCCCTGTGCAGCGCTGCCAGCTCCACGACTTGATCTCAGCACTTGTGCAAAAAACATGACAGAGATGCTGTCTGTGCATTGCTGCGTTCGACTCAGTCCGTCCGGTTACGTGGGAGATCTGAGGCTTTGCGCGTTCATTGGGTTTTAATGGCATCGTGCTCTTAGTGTCCGTGTGCAATGGCGTGTGTCTGGTGTATGTTAGAGATATTAGCGCATCTCTTAAAGCCTTTCTTCTATCAGCATTTAACACACATGTGAGTCTTCTTGTGAACTGATGTCTATATGTATAATGCGAGCCTCTCCGATATAACGACGGTTGTTGTAAGCACTCATATACATGTTAGAGACGCGGAAGCCCT